TATGGGGTCCTTTGCCTTTTGCCTCGCACCTCAGCGGTGTGTGAGCGGGGTTACGGGGTCCTTTGCCTTTTGCCTCGCACCTCAGCGGTGTGTGAGCGGGGTTACGGGGTCCTTTCGCCTCGCACCTCAGCGGTGTGTGAGCCTGCGCCCAGTGACCATGTGATTGTACGGAGCAGGCAGGCTGGGGGGGTTGGTTTGGTTGGGGTTTTTTCACTAGTCCCAAATTTTTAATTTCTCTAGCCCTTTTATGCTATGGTTTGCAAAGGTATACAAGCCTGTGTCCTTTTTTTTTGGCTATTTAGGATTCAGGACATTTGAGGAGTCTTTAGTATCTGCTACAAGATTTAGTCAACAGTAAAAATGGTTTTCTAATTTTCCTGCAGAAGGTTTAAGTATCTCTGTGAGGGGTCTGCTGGTCTCTTCCATATATCAGCTAGAGCTTTTTTGTGGGGTAAACAGGTTTCGTAAACCACAGCCAGTTCTTCCCTCACAGCTTTTCTTCCTTGGTTCCGAGCACTTGTATAAAAGGCACGAGGTTCGTTAGCTCAGTGTTCTGAGCTGAGAAACTGAGATGCTGAGAACCAACGCAACAAAAGGAACCTGAGCCTGATGCTGTGCGGTTGCCCTTTTTGGCAATTCATCAGATGACTCAGGCTCGACAATGCCAGCAGTTGTGGCACTGGGGCCCAAGTAAGGCACCACCCGGCAGATGAAGTCACATGCTGCAAGCCCCACGATTTTGCCGGGTCACAGATCTGCAGTGTGGGGAAAGTAACGAACTGCTCGGTTGTCCACTCCGATTGTACCAAAACCTGTTTGTTTAAACCTACAGGCTCATTACGCTGACGATAACTCACAGTGGGCAGTCCTGCCGTAATTCCTCTGGACCACCTGCCAGAATGAGACAGTCGTTAAATAGTTTTTCTTACTAACTGAAAGGAAAATGTGAAGTCTGTAGATTTTACTGCCTGTTGAGTGCAATGGTTTTGGTAGCATTCCTGAGGATGCTGGAGCTAGCCCAGATTAGTTGAGACTAGCATCAGCTCGCCTGGTAGCCATCCACAGATCTCTCTCAAATTATCTGGTGGCCTGTAGCCGGCTTATCTCAAAGTGAATAAGCTTTCTGCTCAACAGTTTCTCCGCTGCTGTGAAAAGCTAGTTTCTCCCAAGAAAACCATATTTAAAAAAAAAAAAAGTATCCCAGAAAGCCTCCCTGCACATGTGTATTTGTTGCCAGTGGGTTTTGTGGTGGCATTAAAAAAAACACAAACAAAAAACAACCAAGAAAACCAGAAACAAACAAAAAAAACAGTAACCAAAAAGACCTGGTTTATTTGTGGTCTTAGAGTAGGCCCATCACCCGGGCTTTGGTATCTGGGGCCCATGCTGACAGCGGTGGAAGCCATGGGCAGCCTGATAACAGACGCTGCGGGCCAGGCTGGCCGTAGCTGTGCCCAGGGCCAGGCTGCGCCTGATCTCCGCAATGCCCAAAGTCCCTCAAGCCAGCCCTTCCGCTGCCATCTCCCCTTCCTGGGTGACGCTCCCACCTCTAATCTGCACTAGCACATGGCCAGGGGCCATGCCTGGGAAACGCGCTCGGCAGTTAGCAGGCTTGGGGGTTCGCAGAGCCGAGGAACGACAGGCCTGCAGACAAAACCCACAGAGAAACAGGCTTGTCATGTTCCAGGCTCGGTATAAAGACAGACTTGGCGGTTCACAGAAATGCAATTGGGGAGGAGAGGGAAAAGAGGCACAAAACCGCCCCTGCTTTGTAAAGCGCCTCAGGTACTTTGTATCATGTGCCATAATTTGTAAGAGTCTATAAGGAAGTGCTTCAGAGGAGGCACGTGATTCCAGAGAGCTATTTTTAGCAAGAGAAAAACCAGTGTGAAGTGATTGCATATTTCTTTCACTTCCCTTTTTTTTACTTTGCTTGTGAGATGCTCTCAGTGAGTATATTCAGTGCTGAAATACTTTGCCACATTTTTTGGACAGTGAATTAGTATCTTCAGCCTCTTCATAAGTTGTGGCTATTGTAGATTAATACATTGCATGTTTTAGGCAGTTATTTATTGAGTGTTGTAAACCATTTAGAGAATACTTATTTTCTGGAAAATTATAAAGTTATTGTGTTTTAAGGCAACAAAATTAATCTACCTGAATTTAAAGTCTTGCTTTTATTGCTCCCTACTGAGGACAGCTCATAGCTTGGCAGAGGATGACAGAATGTTTGCTAGCTACTTCTTTGCAGTGCTCTTCTGGTGCTAGACTTTGTCTGAGGAGCAGTTGTCTGTTCCTCCATTGGCTGGTGGAAGAAGTGGAAGTCATCTGTGCTGGGGAAGTCTGGAATAAGCTGATTTTTCTTTTGGAACAATATGGCAGCTCAGAGATTCCTTATCTCTAGCAGCTCCTGAAGTGGTAAAGTAGTTACTTTCAATGAGTCAAGTCCTTCCACTGCCATCTTTTTATACAAAATAATTTAAGGTGCTTTCCTAATTGTAGTTCCTTTTCCTATCCTTAAAAGGAGCATTGACAGTCGTCTGACGTGTAATAAACCTACTGTAAGCTCCCAGAAGGCTGTCCATTCTGGGTTTCTGTTGCTCGCTGATATTAGTCCTGTTTATCAGCAGGCAACACGACTGTGTCATGTTTTGCTCAGCCTTGCCTCGTTTCCTCTAACGCAGTGGAACATTTCGCACAGTGAACATTACAGCTAACTTCAGTGGAACTGGGTTCTCACCTCTAGCATTTTCCTGGCAAGTTCTGAAATAGTTATAAAAAAGTAACAAATATAAGAAATACTGTATTCCTTATGGCAGGAAAGGAAGAGAGAGAAAGAGAGAGAGAGCGCCTCTGTGCAAGTTAGTCACAAGCTGATTCAAATTTTAGGTTGGCTGAAGCTGATGGATTCTTACTAACTGCTTAAGGAACACGTATCACTGAGAGCGCAGTGGTATATTTATGTTTTTACAAAGTAATTTTTTTATTACTGATCCTGTCCCCCTCCTTTGTGCAGTTAGACACCGAGAATGGTGCTTATTAGTGAACTGCAAGTTTGCTCGGCAATGCGCTGAATGTTAAAATTATAGGAGACTACTGCTCAAAAGTTGTTATTGTTTTGGTTACGGATGTTGTCCTGTGTGACTCATATGATGTTAAAATTTAAATTGTGTGACAGAAGCACATGTACTTAATAAATTAAGATCATTTATTTTTGGCTATACTCTCTACACATGCATATGGTTTTGTATATGTTATGTATAAAATACTGAAACGCAAATACAACGTGCACAGATATTCATGAATCACACTGTTTGCTGCACAGAGACCTGGAATTAATTGCAAGGGGGTGCGCATGATAATTTTCTTTTCCAGCCACTCAGAAATGC